CCCCCCCCCCCCCCCACCGGGGATGAGGAAAATTCTGGGACTTAAAGTCCACACATCTTCAAGTTGCCAAGGTTGAGAAAAACTGATCCAATGGTTCATAAGCTCACTCCAGCTCATTTGATCAAGATGGTAACTCAACCGCTCTCCTCTGTCTAAGACATTACATTTTTCTGGTCACTTCTAGATTTTTTTAATGCTTTTATTTTGGGGGCATTTTGTGGGAGAAGTACAAACACATTACGGTGGAGAACAAATTATACTAATGTGGACAACACGGAAGAATATTGCTTCTCTGGATTTTTAAGCTTCAAGCTACTCCTTATCGGACCTTTTGCTATGGACCGGTGGCAATTAGCAGCAATTAACATATGTTTCCTTTTATTGCCAATTCTCTTCCACTAGAACTTGGCCTCTTGATCAGGGGTCCAGGAAATTCTTTTGTAAACGAGCGGGTTCCGTGGCTTGAAAAAAATTGAAAATCTAAATTCCCTGCGTCCCCTGCGTGTCCAGTCTGAAGTAAATGCTGATTAGTTTGCCATGGTGCTGCTTAGGCTGAGAAAATTTGGCCAAAGCTGCTTGCTGGCTTTGTCGGATCTCAAGAAGGTGAGCAGGTGTTTGAATGGGAGACCACCAGAAGCCCCCAGACAACAGGCTTGAGAAAACATCCCAGGTCAGAGTCAGAGTGTAGAAGATGTCTCAGCCCATAGGGTAGAAGGCTGGAGTCTGAGACCAGAGAAGACCTTTATCAAAAGATGGTGCAGATATTCTCCATATCCAACATCAAAACCCGAGTGGTAATGGAGGTATCTTGGGCAGCCTTGAAGGGATGAATTGGAGCCCTCTGACTGAGTGAGGTATTATCCAATTAACTGTTTTTATCTTTTAACCATGGATGTCTTATTGTGTCTTTATTGATACGTTTTTACCACCAAGAGATTGTGTCAGAATACAAATTTGATGTATGGGTGGATGGGCGGCTAGGTAGGTGGATGGATGGATGGATCCATGCATGGATGGATGGATGGATGGATCCATGCATGGATGGATGGACAGACAGACAGAGACACATGGATGGATGGATGGATGGATGGATGGATGGATGGATGG